TTATTATTATTGTTTTTTTCATTTAATAATTGTAAATTTCTTTCAAATTTCACAAATTTGAATCGTATAATTCCCTAACTTTTGGCAAATATTTTACAACAGGAGGTAGATTTTTTTCCCTTCATTTCGAAAAAAAGCATTCATTCTGGTGGTAACTACATTAAATTTTACAATATATATATTTCTTTCGAGATATCGAAAGGAAGGAACTGATCCCACAAACACAAAAAATATTTCCACGGAGTTTTCTATTAAAACGAACCTATTCAGAATATAATTTAGTTCATTCATTAATGAATAATTACTGAAAATTTTCGTTTGAATCCGATAATCCCATGAATTGAGGCATTTTTTTTTAAACGGGGGTAGTGATTTTGGCTTTCCTATCGGGAAAAAAAAGCATCCATTTTATTTGGTGGTTTCTGGTTTACAGTAATCGTATATGTCTGCAATAAATGAAAAACAATTGGGTTTTTCATTATATTTGGCTTGGTTTATTTTGTTTTGTTTTACGGCATATCAACACCCCAATGGGTTATTTAATGCCGACAACATTTTTATTGCTGATAATATTTTTTCTAAAAATGTATTATCGGTAATAATTTTCCAAAAAAGTATTGTTGGTATCAAAACCTATTTTTATACTTTCAAAGTACTTTGACCCCCTTTGGAGGGTTAACTACTTGCCCATATCTGGGACCCTGATAGGTGCTACCGCCCTAGGTCAGGGCGGACATGGGAACACCAGCAATTAAGAGGTCATGCCACGCTCCTCAACCTTCTGAATCTGATCAAAGGCCTTGCTGTCGGATGTAATTTATCGTCATACCCAGGACGGTTTCATTATATTTGGCTTGAACTATTATTATTAACATATAGTTCACAACGACCCAAAACTAAAAGAGACAGAATGCATTACTTCACCTTTCTTCTATTTATTTATCTCAAGAAAGACTGATTCAAACAAAATTATGATCATAAAAAATACTAATTAAATTAACAAAATGACTTCTAAAACTTGTCAGCAGGAAACTGATTCTTATTGTGATTTGCCGTCGTACTAATGCTCAAACAAAACAAAACTGAAACGCAAATAAAAAATCACAGACCAGTTTTCTTATAACAATACCTGTCACAGTCACACAGATCGACCTTTTGGGTGTAGGCGTTAAATGACATCTTTACTAACTTTATCGCCAAGTAGCGGGCAGACGGCGAAGTAACCGGATATAATAAATTTGCTTCACTTAGAATAAACAATGAGGACATGAACCCGGTTTCGTACTGTTTAAGCGTTTGTATTTCCGGTTTGGTAATGTTTTAGTTAGTTTTTCCATCTGTCTACTTACGTACCTTATTCTTTATTTTTCAAGAATGAGACTATGTACATTTTATTCTTATGTTTATTCTATTGTTTAGGATTTGTACGTGTAAAGTCTTAAGACTTGTAAAGTGAGGACCGTGCGTTATTTTCAGTCACCTGAGAGAGTTCTTACACACCTGCGGAATTTCATTTAATTTTAGTTTAGGAAGTTACGTCGTCTGTAACACATTTTTACACACCAGTACGCACGTGTTACTTACTTTGTTTGCTATTTAGATACATTGTTACATATAGTTGTAAAAAGTAAACTAAACATGCCAAAATGGTTCCTCAGAGATCTACCTGAGAGAAAGAAAAGAGAATATTAGGTCGAAGGAAGAGGTTGTGGCAACAGTTGATATGGCTGATTGCATGAGGGTCTCAACACCAACTCTGTCGTGGATAATTTACGATACTACTTTTAAGACAAGTTCAACAAAAACATTTTTTTACTCGCCACCTCTGAGACCTAATCTATGATTTCTTACTGGATTTTTCCTCAAAGTTTTTCATTTTTAATAAAAATTTATTAAAACTTGAAATATGCTTTTGAGATGAATAATCCAGTTTTCTACATCCAAAAACTCTTTCCCCAACATTTCTTTCGTACCTGTTAGGCTTGTGAAGTTTTGTCTTTTAATTAACTGTCACCATTAAACTTGTTTCTCTAGAAATCCCCACCACATATTCATTTTTTTCTTTTGTTTTTTTTATCCTTATCAGTTTTCTCCCTCTATTTCCTCCTGAAATTAGTTTCATTTTTTTACGTACCTGTGACTAGTCGTACCTAGAAAGAGAGGAGACAGACACAACAAAATCTTCAACCAGCAGTAATTATGGCCGGTCATTTTCATAAACACTTCCTGATTGTTGGTTTATTTATCTTTCTTGCCACAATGGATTTTGGAATTCCGACCTTGATGGTATGTAACCAAAAAAAATTGTTTATTTTTCTTATATTCATGAATTCATAAGTGTCCTTCGAGGAAATCCCTGGACATTTCTATCAAAATGCTGCACCTGTTGCTTCGTTGATTAAAACTTAACAAAAAAATTAACTGATTATTTGATCTTGTAATTTATTAATTTTCCAAGACTATATAACATTTAAAATTTAAGTTCATAATTTGCTAATAATTATTTTCTTAAAAAGTTCGTAGCCTTATGAAATAAAACTTTAAAAAAGCGTCAAAGGCTTTTCTTAAACTTTAAAAAAAAATGACTACTTTCTTAATTTGGTACAAATGTAGTAAGAGCCTTTCTGGGAGTTCACAGAAAAATATTTAAAAAAAATTTTTTTTATTTTTTTTATTTTTGAATTAAACAATTCAAAAATAAAAAATAAACTTGAAAAAGTCGGACGCTTTAAATTGTAAAAAAAGTGAAGACTTTTTTTTTTTTTTAGAGATTTGTCAAATTAGCGAATAATCATCAATTTTTTTTGGATATTAATATTGTATCGAATTAATGAAAATTATGAAGTTGATTTTTCCTGTAAATTTCAAACTGAATTTGGCAGTGAACTTCCTGGTGTATGATGTTTGCTTTCTTTCGTTTAAAATATGGTTGAATGAAGAAGAAATAAGATTTTCAATTGGTATTTTTAACAAATGATTTCTCTAAGAGGACTAACTAATCAAACAAAATTGTATATTTTATCAATTTTATATGAAAAATAAAGTTTAATCGACATAACAAAAATGTTCAAGATTAAAAACATACGAAAAAGTTAAATAACTCCTATGTTGACAATCGTTTTTGTTTGTTTGAAATCATCAATGATTACTAAAACTTTGACTTAATGATTTTTTTGTGCTAGTTTTTGTTTATCTGATAAACTAAATTTATATTCGAAACAAATTGTATTGGTTGCGTTGAGTTTGTGAAAACATTTTTTAAGTGAAAAAGTTTAAAACGTTCAGATATGGTGGCGACTCAAACAAGGAAGTGTATTTGATTTAACTAACATTTTCTGTCACGTATAAAAAACGATTTCAGTTTAAAAAAGCAATCACCTGAATAAAAAAAAATATATTTTAACCTCAATCAACAACCATTCATACAGAGAGATATGTTGATAGAATTTTTTTTATGTTTAAGTTTAATTCTATGAGGGATACTGAACAGTTCTCAACCCGACCAAGAAAACCTTTAAAAAGGAAAAAAAATTGAAAAAAATATTTTTTTTTTTTTTTTTTTTTTTTTTGGTCAGATTTTAGGAAGTGGGTCGAGACGATAACTTTTCTTTCAGAATTTTCTCGTAAAAATACAATACCATGAATGTGACATAGTTTATATACCACCTCTAAGCCTAAAGGTATTGATTGAATTAATCGATCTTTTTCATAAACAGAAACTTGTAGTAAATGGAATGAATTGTGTGATTTTCATAAATTAGTGTGTAGAACTTGAGTGTCTTTCTTTACTCTTTAGTTTTTAAATGTGACTTTTTCTCTCAATTTATTTCCGTTTGTTACACTTAAATGTGCTCGCTCACTCTTCTTAAATGAAAAATGATTTTCTTTCAGTAAATGAATTCAAGACGTTCACTTCACTAAAAATACAAAATGATTGTCATGTTCATCTATCTTAAAAAAAATAAACAAAAAATCTGTTTAATTACCTGTCGTCATTAATTTCTGTTTTTCTTATATCGCATCTAAGAGATTCACAATAAGTTATTGTGAAGTTTTCTGTTTTATTATTAAAAAATGTGTGACCGATGAGAATTCTGTAATAAAATTTCAAGAATATAAATTTTTGCATTGACAAGAACACCTTTTTTACCTTATTAAAAAACGGCTTCTGTTGCCCTAGTTAAGTTTTTTTTAACTTTAAAACTTTATTTTTTTTTTCAGATTTGACACACCTTAATTTTTAGTTTTTTTTTTCTTTTTTAACTTACTTAGGGTGTGTCAGTTCTTAAAGAAAAAACTTTACCAATAATTCAAAAGTTGTATTCATTTTATTTTTATTTAACTTAACAAAGACGAAAATCGTTTGTTAATAATTTGTCTGTAAATAGGAACAAACTGAGTTTTTAAAATAAACTGTGTTGATGATGGCGACAACACTGACGATGTACTTGGTTTCAATTCAAATTTCAACTTTTTCCCCTTCACAATTTACGTAAATCATTGTTTGTTTATTCGTCGAATGAATAGTTAATTTTCTACTTTGTGGGAGCAGCATTTTAGTGCGAAGGTGAATCATTTTTTAGAAAAAACCCAACAATGTCACGATTTATTTTCTAGTGGGGAGGGGTTTGAAACACGCGTGAAATCTTGTTCATTGTTTTCTTTTGAAGACATAGACAAGGATTTGATTTCTGGTTGACTTACAGTGTAACCCGGATATAAGAGAGTTGTCGGGACCAGAGATGAAGTCTCTTGTATCCGGGTTTGGTCTATTTTGTTTAGGTAAGTATGGGAACACTTCAACGCTTTTTACGTACAGAACACTAGTTTAACAGTTATAGACATAAAAAACACAGACAAAAATACATTTTCAATCAGTTTTCAAAATAATTCAATCAAAAATTACTTTTTCTTAAAAGTCAGTCATTTTTGATTGTACAGAAATCTCTTTGTTAACGTAAATCATTTTCAATGAACCATCAGGATTACTGCTTTTTGCTTCAAAGTAGGCTGTCAGTTTCAAGCGCATTCAATGCAGCCAGAGAATTTGGCACTGGTTTGTCACTTTCAGAAACTTCAGAACTTACGCTTTCAGCATGATCATCTTCGTCAAAATCTTGATCATCCGATTTTATACCACGTGTGATGTCCGTGTCAGTCAGTTCTCCATAACATTGTGTACGGTCGTCGTTTGATAAATTCGTCAAAATCTGTTTGCTCATGCCCGAAGGTGGAGAAACTTGATAATTTTCGTCAAGTATTTCTTCCACTTCAGCCTGTGATTCAATGACAAACCGGTTTTTAAAACAATTTTCAATTGTTGACGGTTTGACCATGAAAAGTGCTCGCTTCATCATGTGCACGGCCTTCAAAACAGTTATCTGCTTGGCCACCTCAGACAGCGGCACTGGCGGTGTAGCATCGATTGCTGCGATTTGCATTCGAACAAGTTCCCGACAATAATACGCTTTGAATGAACGAATGATGCCTTGATCCAAAGGTTGAATGAGACTGATGGTATTTGGTGGCATGAACGGCAATTTGATGTTTTACAGATTTGTACCCAGCAGTAAGTTATGACAAGTTGCATTGTCCAAAAACAGAATAATCTTTCAATTTTGAGCAATCATTTTTTTGATCAAGCATTTTCATAACGTCAGTAAACAGCTGACTAGTCATACAGGCTTTACGATTAGCGAAGTAAGAAAACGGCAGAGTTTTGACATTTTTAAAGCAGCATGGTTTTGCCGACTTACCAACAACTACAGCTTGCTTTTCACTGCCGTCCATGTTTGTGAACTGAAGCATCGTGCGTCTGTCTTTGGGAACTTTTGTCCCATTTGACTGTTCGTCGCCGCCAAATCGCAAAGATCCAGACGGCATGGCTTTGTAGAAAATTCCTGTTTCATCACAGTTCCAAACATCTTTTGGATCATATCCACGAAAAAGTTGCGGCAAAACGTTTGTCACCCATTCGTTGGCAGAACCGTGATCTGCTGACGTTGATTCGCCATTAAATTTTTTGAACGAAACGTTATTGGCTTGCTTTCAGCGCATGAGCCAGCCATTGCTTCAAGATTTATGGCCAGTTGTGATGCTTTCTGCCTGATGACGTGATCGGTGATGGTAGCTCCATGAGCACATGCTTGCGTAAACCATTGTGTAAGCGCTTTGTTAACGTCCTTGTGCACGGATTGGCGCTTTCGTTTGCGATTAGTGTTTCCGTTCATTTGCATGCAAGATCTGAGATCGTCTTCTTTCTTGAGAATTTTTGCTGCTGTTGAATAACTGATTCCGTACTTTTTGGCTGCAGCGGCCAGTTTGAGTTTCTTCACTTTGACATCGTCGATGAGCTCCAACTGTTCAGAAATGCTCAGAGTTTTTCGTTGAGACGCTGACATCACTAATCGCAATGATCGCAAGCAAACGGTTTTCAGTGACAAAATTAACAAACAAACTTCTGACTCAACAGAACAGTGGGTAAAGTGAAAGTGCTGTCCAGTCAATGCAACAACCAGCAAAGTCGGCAAAAAGCGGGCGGCACTACCCTTAGACACACAAAGCAAAATCATAAGGTAGAGGGTGTCTCCTACAGACACAGATTGGACACACCGTGTCTCTAGACTAGTCAAGATGAAGTCATTGAACTTCACTCTCTCTCTAACTGACCTCTGTTTGACCGATTTACGACATCACACTGTCACTCAAAACAAACTCTCTTATATCGGGGATGACGGGACCAGAGAAAATTTCTCTTATATCCGGGTCACACTGTATTTGAAATTATGCATGCGCTGTAAAAGGGCTTTTAACTTTAGCCCAGCAAAGGTCGGAATATAGTTTTCTATAAGTTATAAGACGCGCCAACCAACAAGATAACATTATTCACTTATTTACTTTGGAAAGTAAGAAAAAGTAAATTATGAGTTAAAAATAGTTATTAATTGTCCATTGATTAATTAATTACAATATTCGTGTTTTTTTTCTCTGAGGTAAAGTGTGCAGTTAAGATTGCACTATTTTTTTTAATAAGTTACTAACACTCATTGTATCATTTATTGGATCAGCTGACCAAATATTTTTCATTGACATTAAAATAAAAATAATTTCAAAATATAGTTTTAGATTTCAAGCCAGATTGGAAAAATTGAATTTGATTTTTGACTTTCCTCTAGTCTTCTGCTTTCATTTTTTTTTTTTTTTTTTTAATAACTTGTTTGTATGGATAAGATTAAATCTTCAAAGTAAAAAGTATGTGTGTGGCATAATAACAACTTTAGATAAAATGAAAATAGTGAAATCAATTGAATACTCATTTTTTAACCTAATAGACAAACTAGTTAGCACTACATAATGAAGCCTTGACTAGCAAATTGTTCTAATCTTTTAAAATATTTATAACAAATTGAGAATTTTCCATAGATTTCATGGCAGCAACTATACTACCATATCCCATTATCACCATTGCTTCATGTATCAAAAGGAAGTTTTAAAGATAATATGTTGGTTGTTATGATAATTTTAAACTACAAAGGAACTAATGAAAGACTAGACCATTATAGATTTCCATGTCTAGGGATAGTCTTCTTTTGTTTAATACTGCTCAAATATTGCTTGACTTTTGAGTCAGTTTGTACTACCTGACTCAGACAATTACTATATCACCAAGACAGCACTAGGCTATTGTCCCATGGGACAATATTTAACCTAAAACTTGGAAGTTCTTGGAATGTTCTTATTGTCTGCCTGCTGCTGAGCTTGTTGCTGTAGTACTTGACCTCCTTTACTGCTATTTCTGTTCATTACTGCTGCTGTAGCCTTATCATTTCTCATTCTTTATTTATGACTCCCATATAGTATTTATTTCTATGCTAGGCCTAGCATTTGTGCAGATTCCTTCAAACATGATTCTTCACTGTTTAGTATTTTTACTTCATTCCACATGGGCTGGTAACCACTTTTTCCCTCCCCATACATGATCAGTCATGCCTAATTTTATTGTCCCATCCATGATATATATTTGTTGCATAAGCTCCTGACCCACTTTGTTATACTGACTGCTGTAATAAAAATAACCAACTTTAATAAACTAATTATACAGGCTACTGTTAGTTACTTAAAAAGTCCGCCTTTATTTCTTTGTGGCATGCACAGTGTATGTCGTAGTTCAGGAGAATTCCTTATGGTTTGATAAGCTTTGTTCAACAGGGAGTTCCTTTAGGGTTATCAATTGTTATTATTACATTCTTCCCTGATGTTTTTATTTGGTTACAAGTCCAGATGCGGGTAGGTTTTACCAATATGGAAGACCTACAAAGTACAATGGACTTTAGTTAGTGAAAGGGTGGGTGCATCAAATTCAGGTGACTCAGATAACTGTTTAACTGTTCATTGGTATCTTCATTTTCAAGGCAATCAGTTCTTTCTATCAGCACTCAAGGACCCACAAAGGTTTCCTTCATTACACCAGTGTGTTTTTCTGTCTCTCTGATACTCTGGACATGGTGCTAGATCCCTTAATGATAACATTTGATTCTCATCCATTTTGGTGCTTGTGACATAGGATGGATTTGCGTCTATCAATTCAACCTCATCCACCAGAGGATTGTTTTTCTTTCTGAAGAATTGACAAAGGAGTACTGGTCCAGGGCTTGTTAGCCAAGTTGGCAGAGAAATACCAAAAGAGCATCTTTTGAAACTAAAGAACTGTTGGGATGGAGTTGCTTGCTGTTGACAGGAGAGATCTAATGGCATGTAGGGTGTTGGGGAGTACTGACTCCCAATAATAAACATCCAGTTTGTTTGACTTTAGAGCAAGTTTAATTACTTTCCAGATGATACCATTGTATCTCTTTGCCTGTCCATTAGTACTGGGGTGGTAGGGTGTTGTCTTGCTTGTGGCCTTTATTTCTTTTGCTAGAAAAGAAGTGCCTCTATCAGAGTGGATATAACCTGGAAAGCCAGTTGGTGCAGATAACTGGTCCAGACATTTTATTACCATTGATGAATGCATCAAGATGGGACAGGGAAAAATGGAAATCAAGAATATTCATCCACAATGGTGAGGATATAAACATTACCTGAAGTTGAAGGTAAGGGGACCTTTAAAATCCATGTTTAGTTGTTCCATTGATTGGGTAGCTTTAATTAATGTTCCCTTTTCCATGTGAAAAAATTTTGTTTTGAGTTCTGCACTTAGTCAACATGAAGAACATACTTCCTTTACTACTTTTGTTGAGAATGGTAGATTCTTAGCCTGTTCAAAATGGGGCATTCATATATTTCCAGGATGGCATAATCCTTGACGCAGATCACCAAGGGTTGATGAAGACACTGGAGCACAAAATGCTCTAGTGTGTCAGGGGCAACATTGTCTTTTCCAGGCCAATATCTTATCGAGTAGCTAAAGGCAGACAACTCAATTCACCATTCTAAAATTTTATTGTTTTTAAGTTTTGTCCTCTTCCAGTTATCAAGCATAAATTCTGCTGAATGTTGGTCTGTCATCAAGGTAAAATATTTTCTTGCAAGGAGGTGATTCCACTTCATAACAGCCTCAATTATTGCTCCCCTGAAGAGTCTGTGACCTAAAAGCCACTGGTCTACCTCTCTGGTTTAGAGTAGCTGCCACTGCCACATCCAAAGCATCACACTCAGCAACAAGGGGTAAGTTTTCATCTATATTTTGCAGAGTGTCATTCTCCAGCTGTTTTTTTAGAGTTTTAAATGCTTTAATAGCTGTTGCGTTCAGTGGAAAAGTCTTGTTTTTAATCAGTGGTTAGATTCTGTTGAACTTTGGTATCCATTTAACATAGTACACTAACATATCAACAACTCTCCTTAAGGAATTCAGGGTTGTTAGCATGGGTAAGTCTTGCAGTGGTCAGTCTTTCTGGGTCAGATTTAATTATCCTATTACCTATCTAGTAGACAAGGATATTAAGTGAGGATACAAAAGACACTGTCTTTGTTTCATTCAGTGTAAGATTTTTAGCTCTGATGGGTGTTAAGAATCTTTTAACATTCCAGTCATATTCTTCTTGGTTTCTTCCTGTGACATTTATGTTGTCAAGGTAAAGAAAGGCGTCTCATAACATTTGTTCTTGGATAAGTTTGTCCATTTCCTGCTAAAAAATAGCCACCCCATTCATCACACCAAATGGCACTCTGTGGTACTGATAGAGCTTCTCATTAGTTTCGAAAGCAGTCAATTTTTAAAAATTTTACCTTAGGGAATTTAGTGGTAGGCATTTTTTCAGATCAAAGGTAGAAGAGACTGTGTATTTGGCCAGTTTGTTTACAATCTCTTCAATATGTGGAAGAGGATAAGCATTGAGTTCTGTAAATTGGTTGATAGTCTGTGAGTAATCAATGCATAACTTCTTATGTATATTAGTGGGGTCCTTAACAATCACCACCTGGCCCCTCCAGGGAGATGAACTGGGTCCAATTATTCTTTGTTGTAGTAGCTTCTCAACTTCATTTCTGATGAAATCCCTGTCATCCTTCCCAAACTGCCATGATTTTGTTG